AGCAGTAACACCAAGGATACTGTTTGCGGCCGTGTTTTAAGTGGGAACTAGCCTCTTCTCGCCACAGCTACGCACACAGGATCTCAAGAATAATGCAAGCCGGGAAGCTGTCAGAGCCATGAAAACAGGAATTTCCGGGCACTTAAGAAGCATGTCTTTCCGAGGACATTTTCACACACACGTGAGGACCTAGAGAGCAGGTCGACTTATCACGGAGTCGTGCGGGGTTGGTGAGCTGTTTCCATCATGGAATTACGTGCGTGTGGAGCCGGTAAATCAAATCTTTGTGATATGAGCTTTCCGACTGGGAAGAAGTCGCCGGTGTCACGACTACGATCTGAATCTTATCGTAATCCCCGAAAATCCTCGAACGATCTCTTGCTGTTCGTCTGGGCAGAAGCGCTGGACATATCCTAGAAGCACACTAGCCAAGTAGATAAATGCATATATATTCTGTTTCACCTGTCCTCGGCCTACGGCATACAGGATTTCGCGCAGGCGCGCTATGTGCATGCGTGTTGTTGGTGGGTGGTGTACTGTTTGTACTGGACACCTAAATGTGGACTCTTCGGGGACACAGCACCATTGCATTTTTTTTCCCCACCTCAATCGCCCTAGGCTTCGCTATGTGAAACGCACGTGAGAACCCTTGGTCAATCATTCTTGGGTGAGGTGGTACGCTGTGTGATACCTGGTAATGGAAAATTTGCTGACTTGGCTTCAGTGTGAAACGTTTCCCCACGTGTTTTTGGGAACACTATTCATACTGAAGCCAAGTCACCCTTTGTCTGGCAAGGGGCTCGACACTCTCCCATTTCTATGGAGGGACTGTAGCCCCTCGGCGAATGGCTTCACGACAATGTTTGGGCTATTTTTTTAGGAGGGACTACATACTATTGTAGGAGGGATAAGGCGTCGCGGCGGTCGTAGTTCAATAGAAGGTGCATACAGTAGTGGTCCCGATATAGTGGCACCCCGAATAGTGATATGCCCTGAATAGTGGCATCAAAATAACTTGTCACAATCTCAACCCGACATAGTGGCTATTGAGGACGTGGTCCTCAACGTGGTCCTCAATAGTGGCATTTTGGGCATCTCACCCCCCCAATAGTGGCAATTCAATACGCCGGAGCCTCCCTGTTCTTCACCGCAAGCTCTGTCCGAAGACGCAAGGGAGATTTTTTTGTTGAAGGTCGGCAACATGTACGTCAAAGAGGACACCTTTTCTGACGACGAGGTAGAGCTAGACAACATCGAAGATTCTGAGAGTGAGGGAGGTGGAGGGACGAAGGCGCCCCCATCGTTCGCGGAACTGTCTGGGTTTTCTGGTCCTCTAGAAGAGTACGCGGAGTCCTTTGGCATTGGCGAGGCCGGGCATTTCCTCCGTAAAGCAAAGATGGCATTCTTCGCAGCACATGCCGCCTAGACCGGCACGGCAGGCACGGCAGCTGGACATCAGAGCGTTTGCCCAGAGATAGTGTAGTAGTATTGGTCGGTTGAGGCCTACAGGTGCGCCGGAGTGGGGAGTGTCGGCGTTTTCAACTTGGTTGCTCCAGTTGGTTTCGCGTGCATTGATGTTTTCAACATGTGTGTTTTGCTTGAGATGAACCCCATCATGCATAGCCAGTCAAGACAGAAAAAATAAATGTCACTTTGTTTCTTGCAGTCTGCCTGCACACAAAAGTAGGGTGCGATCGCCGAAGGCCTCGTTGTCACAAGGACGATCAAGTCGTGATGGGCAGACACCTGCGTTTCACGCGGACACTGGTGCACACAACAAAGAGGGACTCTAGATACATACACAACACATGAGAGTGAAGATCCAAGGAACAACTGTCCGTAGCGTAAGCATCAAAGCTTATTCTCCGATATAGTGGCAACTATCTCGAATAGTGGCATTGGCCTGAATAGTGGCATGTTTTTCTCTTACCACTACATGCCACCATATCGGGACCACTACTGTAATATCCGCCGCAATACTATTCCAAATATCTAACAAACCAGCAAGCTGTCAATAGACACTGCGCCGTGTCCCCTGTGAAGGATACATTTTACATTACACGACACAACGGAGGGATTCTCCCCGATATTTTGTCGTTGACCCAGTAGAGAACTACAGGGGATCGTGCATTGTAAAATGTAAGTTACCTATACAGATGTTTTTGTACTTCGCACCAGCTGGCATCACTGATCTAAATCATCAATGTATAGACATAAAAAGACTCGAAATAAGTCCAGTACCCAGCCGGTTTTCCTCCACTCACTGAAAAGACTCCACCACATCCCGTGTATTTTTATCTCGAATGGGTGGTATTTCTGTGTGTGTATTTCTGTGTGTATTTATTATATTTTTCCTTGATCCGCCGAAAAGAGTCGCGGGGACGAACATGGTGAAACTAATAGTGACAAACCCAATGGAGCAAAGAGAAGGATACAGCACAGTTTGTAACCCAGTGCAGGGGCAACGTGCTAGCGCAGAGCAAGCAGATAAGGTTCTATTCATATGGCTCTATGGTTTTGCGTCTTCTCCTTTGCTGAAAATCTGGAGAGAGACACTTTGTCAACCTCCTCCGCGTCCTCCTTGCCCACATGTGTTGGATGTGTTCCCCGATAAATGCGTGAGACCGACGTCGTATCAGCCCAACATTGGATTGTTGGGAACAAAGTAAAAGGAGACTCTTTGAGCAATAAAATACGTCGTGCCCAACCCTCCATTGATCAGCAGGGAAGCGTCGAAGGTAATGGGGCTACACCCTCCCGTCGGACAAGCCCCCCGTTTTGGTGTTGGTTCCCGTCTTCACACCTTCGCATCCTCAACCATTGTTGCGCCTGGCTGGCTGCAACTTGGTGAAAGTGGGAGGGTGTCAAAATAACACCAGAGCCAGAGCGACCCGTTCGAGATACAGTAGTGCCCCGACCGACGGGACGTGTTGGAGTCGTTTCAGCGGGGGAGACAATTGCGAGATGCCGGACGTGGTCTGTCAAGCTCTGGACTACAGCAATACCAGCCGGCACTCAAACAGTCACTGCTGTTTGTCACTGTTTATCCTATGTATGCTATATTTTCAGACACCTGAAGTAAACATCCTATAGAACCTCCCTTGCACTGCTTGCAAGGTAAGGTTAGCCTTGTCAGGCACGCCAAAAACAAATGGGGTCAGGCAAGTCAGACAAAATGCCAGGCATTCGCCTCACAGCAGTAGATCGCATGCATGCCTGAGATGCCTGATATCTGAAGTAATATTTTCAGTTATTTTCCCAAGCATATGGCATGTAGCGAAGTATGCATAGCGACGGGTCGTACTGGGCTTATCGTCGTGTTTTCTCCATGCGCTGCCTGGAGCTGCGTGGAATTATGTTGTTGCAGTCAGGCAACAGAACATCGTCTCAGGCATACCTCTGCTAGAATTGCCCTCCTCTCAGGCAGGAAGTCAGGCATGCCTGGTAGGGTTGAGAAAAGGTGCTCTCAGCCAAAACCTCAGGCACGTCTGATCGGGCTGGAGCGTACCTGCAAGTCTCCGCTGGGTGCGTCAATAGGGTGCCGGGTTGAAACTCTCCGCTACTGTCTTCATTGACGTCACAAAAAGTACACCTAAAGGTGTGCAACTGGCGCCATATTGACCTGCTGGGTACTTCGTAGATTGTAGGGCGGACCATACACGATGCATACATACATAAGAAGAATCACTATGTAGGAAAATGATGAAAATATTTATTCGGCCCTCTGCCCTCTGAACTCATGAATTCATCGCTACTCTTCCCGGACGCTTTCTGTAGAAGCTACACTATTTGTTGTGTTCTGAACAAAAACAAAAGTTGTTCTTGAAAACCGTGACCATCCCCGGTCGACAATAATGTGGTTGGTTATGCATATGTATGTCTCGAAATGGGTGGGTAGTCTTTCTGTGTTTGTTTGTATATATTTTTCCTAATGATAATTATGTGCAGACCCGGTTGTAACGAATTTGGCCGGCGCAAATTACAAATTACCGATGACGTTCTTGAGATAAAGTGATGAGCGTAGTGTCTCCCGGACATGTTTTTTTTTTTTTTGTAAATGTGACCCATTGTCCCATTGTGATGTGACCGCTTTTGTGAAAGAAGCCTATCACCATGACGTCATTTGCGACATCCGATCTATATGCGTGATGAGAATGAGGGCTGAGGAACTCGAAGTGTACCTGGCACCACGTTTACGTACAACTTTGTTAGTGTTAAGTTCTTGGATGATTTCAACGACTGGGTTGCGGCATGTCGTAGTCGCCGTGGAGGGCAGCAGCAACAACAGGTAGCTGGCATATTTTATAGAACGAAGTGGGATGTGCGGAGTATCTCAAGTTGCAAGAAGACAAGACGAAAAATATTATTATTGCACTTGCTGCAGCACAACATGACACACCTTGCCGGGGCGCACGAGTAGAAGGTCTTGTGACAGCTGGAGGCTTGTGGAGAGGAAAGCCGTGCGTTCTCCCTGCACGTGATGCCAGTTTGCTTCAAGTCCTATCGGAGATCGCTATGTAGACCGCAAAAGGCTGGATTCGATGTGAGCTGCTTGAAGGCTGGTGGTTCGTTCGCGCATGTACTGCTGCTTGCTGTACTCAAACCGAATGCACTCTTCACAAGATATGTTTTCTCTCTCAGTCTCAAGGTTACGTACGTATACGCGGGTTTACAGTTTACAGACATTGAGGGGCAAGTTGGGATGGGAGACCGTTCACAGGTGGAACGGGCGGGGCGTGTCCAAATAGTGCAACGTAGGGAACAGAGAAAAGGTTGCATGAGCGAGAACTCAAAATGGCCGGGTTACCGTGATTACCCCGCCCTGCGAGCTCGTACCTCCGAAAAGTCACGAAAACCATACGGGGTACCACCTGATTTCATACCTCACACGACGTGGCCCCTCGCCGTGTACATTGATTGTGAACTGCACAAGCAGTGCAAGTGTGCTGTGCCAGCCAGCTCTTATCCCACAACGAAAGCGACCCACCCCAGCGCCTGTAATGGAGGACGAGATTAGAAGCGAGGCTTCGGCAAACGGGCAAGCCCTTGCACAAAATAATGAAGAGTCGGCAGCGCCATCGTTCAAGAAACCTGCGTTCAAGAGGCCAGCCTTCAAAAAGCGAATTCCAGCTTCAAAAGGTGGGGACGAAGTAGTTGGCGTTGCCTCCCGCGGTGTGGAGAAAGAGACGGAGCGAGAACAACCGCCCATTGTTCTGCGTCCATGGCTTGCCATGGTAGTAGGATAAGTTCGCTGTTTGGACACCTCACGGTAGGCTTACGGTAGTTCTGTCGGCCGGCATCGCGTTGTGATTGTATGGGGGGCACCTATGATACAAGTACTGCCGTAGAAATGTGTACGTGCACATCGTACTCAGCTGTTGACGGCGGCAGCAACGTTTGACTGGGGGATTCAGTATTGTATTGCACTTGCTCCCGTTCCCTATAGCAGTATTTGCGCAACCCGTCTACAAAAATACTCGCGGGGGGATGGACAAAGGTCTATATTGGGTACATCGTCCACAACACCCGCGGGCACACGCACGCTTGTCGTCACCGAAAACCCAAGGCCGTGCAAGGTAGGCTACAACAGCAGAGCGATGTAACGTAAATGACACAAGATAACACAACAGTGATGACATATTTGAGTTTAATAAAGTTATCGCCGGGTATGGTATTCTGTGGGGGGTGTGGTATCTTATGTACCCCGGGTGATATAGTGCGGCTCGCAGGGGCCCTAAGGGGCTGTGATAAACCCGGTGGGGGTGATAGCACGTCCGAACACCCACAGGGTGTGTTCGGGGGTGTGGTAAATAGCACGTCCGAACACGCACAGGGTGTGTTTTGGGGGGTGATAATGAGGGGGTGTCCGCCAACACCAGCTGAGAGGCTTTGGTGGTGTTGACTCGTCTGCGGTACCCGTACGTCCTGCTGAGAGCGAGTCAGCATCTGGCTGCTGGTGAGGCGAGGCGACAGCCGTCATGTTGGCGCCTGTTGCTGTGCCAGCTGCTTCCGCTGTTAGAACAGTAGCAGGAGGAGGAGCCGTACCAGTAGCCGCTTGCGTGGAAGAAGTTTGCTCAGGTTGAAAGAACGAGGTGATATGTTGCGCCTGTCGAAGTAGTTGTGGAAGAAACAAAGGTACTCGGCGGCAGTCTGCTCTTCTTTCTGCACGTTCATGTTGTTGCACACAGAGGGTGTGTGTTGTGTGTGATGCCCAGCGGCAAATGCTGTTACCCCGGTGACAACAGGGAGGGACCCGTGAATATATGCGGCGGAACCTTAATTTATCACCGGGGTGTGTTTTCTTGTGTATCTCGGGTGATAAATGGATGGTTTGTCAGAAACGCCCAACGAGAATATCAGCCGGGTGTCGTATTCTGTAGGGGGGTTGGTTTCTCTTGTAGGTCTGTTGTCTTGTGTTATACTCTATATATTGCACAACGACAGATAGTGTTGATTGGTTTGTTCGTCCCAGGGTGGAATCCGCGGCCCATGGTCCCATGGTGTGCTCAGTTTTGGGTCCGCGCACTCTCACCTGCAACGGTTTCTCACCGGGTTTGCTCTCTTATCCACATTTGTATGCTACACGTGACACCATTCTCCAGCAGCTGCTGCAGGCAAGCAGGAATATTGCAGTTTGCACCGAAACACCGCCCGTCCAACACAGCCTTTTATGTTGCCCGCCCGCCACACACGGCAGGCGGTATGCGCAACAACAAGCGGTCGCGGGTAACGAAAGGTGAGGGCAAGGGTGCGGGCGGCAGCGGCGGCAGCAGCAGCGAGGATGACGTTGCCGTGGTCAAGGCGGACAAGAAGGGCAAGAAGGGGGTCAACAACTTTTCGACGGGAGGGGGGAGCGGCGGCGCGGAGGCACGGGCGGCCGCAAGGTGGGCGAGGCGACCGCTTGCTATACAAAAGGCGCCGGTTGTACCGGTGGTAGTCAATTCCCGTCCAGAAGAGCTGTACCAGTTGTGCGTGCGTTCAGCATCATTTTGGACACCCCTCGAGTGAAGGGCGCCGTTTTTTCAGAAGTATGGTGCCCCGTATGTACTTCATATTTAGGGGAATGTTTTTAATTGCGCTCACCCGCTTTTATCGGCACTCACTTTCTCTGAAGAAAGCCATGAAGAATGATGGAGCGATGACCGAACGTAACTATTTACTGGAATATTCCAACGAGGGTTGCGTTCTCCCAAGGATGATTTTTGGGGGTGGGTTTACATCGAATTTTGTGTTTTTTCCGCGATCTCAAGTCGATCAGGTTCCCGTACATGTATGGGTAGAAAACCTCTTTTCACACCTCGCTCGTGTCATGGCCCTCTGCTTGTCGTCGTTTGCCAGGGAGGCGTTGGCGAAGGAGACCATGTCTGCCGGGAGCCTGTTCGACTCCTCCAGGACGGCGGTGCCGGTGAGCAACGCGGGAGGGGCGACGCACTACACCGAGATCGACACGCAGGCCGACAGGGACACCAGGGCTATCCTAGAGAAAAACATCCGCCTAAATGAGTGAGTTTCTGTCGGCGGCGACTCCGTATCGATGTGTGCGTTGTCCTGACCAGTGCCGTCATGATGCTGCTGTTTTGGTTGGGCGTTTTGAGGGCCTGCCGCCAGGGTACTGGGCTGCCATCGGTAATTTCTTCCCCTTAAGAAGACAGGGCATGGTAGGTGGCTGATAAAAAGGAAAAGCGCGATATCAAAGTCCACCCTGCAGACAGCAGACACGTTCAAGGTTTCGTCTCGTGATTGGTACCTTTGCATCCTCACCATGCAAACATCTGGCCCACCACCAACTTTGTATCCACGTGTCTCGAAGTATGCGTAACACCATGCTACCGGCGCTAGTCTGCCTTATAGTTTCACCAAATATTCTCGAACCATCGTTGACATGGTCTCTTCTTTCATCCGCCGATTGTCTGGTTGTTCGAAACGGTCGCGGATGCTTCCAGGGAAGGAGCGACAACTGACAAGGACGGGCTCTACCACGGAATGGCGGGGTACAAAAACCACATCAAGAAAGACGAGGCTCAGGTAATCTCGACGAAGAACATTGATCGTACGCCTCCACCGTGAAGTATTTGTGAGGGGAGCAGGCACCCGGCGCTATCCAGAGTTTCAACATCTCGATTGTTCTGTTTCACGCTATGGCCAGCGGGTTCTTTTTGTGAAAGCCCGTAAATGCTGATACTCTCACCATACTGTCCACATTTCTTGCGCTTGTGGTTGTTTGTCTTCGTCATCATTTATTTTGTTCGTTGCTAACGCTTTTGACCCCCGTGGGGTAAACACGCGTTCTCAGATCGGAGGCAACAAGCACACCGGGACCCAGGGACCGATACGAGCGCCGACCTTCCTTCGAGCCACCTGCCGGTTCGACTACCAGCCTGACATCTGCAAGGACTACAAAGAGGTGCGTGGCTTGCGTGGTTCCCGATGGTTGTTTTTGGTGCAAGTGGTCGTGATGGCGAACGACATGGTACAATGGCGTCGGTGTTTGTGTCCCGCTGTTTCTTCCAGGATAGCTTGTCGCGCTCCATGCAGGACCAACTCGTTGGTCCCGTAAAGTAGGGAGGGGGAAAGTTGCGCGATTTGTCGCCTTCGTTTCTAGATCTCGTGTGCAGCGCACGGATCGACCACCGCTGTTGTGTGTGGTACGAGAAGGACGCGTGTCTCATTGCCGGTCAACTTGCCCCCCGCCCCCCGCCATCCCCGCTCTCATCGGCCGTTGATCACAGTCATTGCCCACCGAATAGCTCATGATGACCGCTGCACGTTTTTTTCTCTCTCTCTCTCTCCTACGCCAATGATTGGGCAACGCCTAGACGGGATTCTGTGGGTTCGGTGACAGCTGTAAGTTCTTGCATGATCGAGCCGACTACAAGTCTGGGTGGGCGATGGAGCAGGAGTTCGAGGCTAAGGAGAAGAAGAGGAAGGAGAGGGAGGCACTCGGGGAGTGGGCGGAGGAGGAGAACGAGGAGGAATACTTGGTGAGTGGTTGGGTGTTTTCGTTGTGTGTGAGTTTTTTTTTTCTGTGACGTTGTGGTATGTTCTTGCCGTTGTAGCTGCTGCTGCGGCCTGGAGGTTGTCGTGGTTGTTGTTGTTGCGGGCGTATTCTTGGTGTTGCTGTTAATTGTTGATGTTGCTCTATTTACTGTTCACCCTCTGTCGTACATTCTCCCTCTCTCTCTCTCTCTCTCTCTCTCTCTCTCTCTCTCTCTCTCTCTCTCTCAGTTTTAAGAACCCCACATTTGTGTTGAAGTCCTCGTGGATTTGCGTCTCCTTCAGCCTCCCGTGGCCCTCTCCCTATTCTCTCGCGTGCCAGCACAGCAATCGCCCTTTATTCTTCCTCAGAATCCTCGTCTCAAAATGTCTGTTATCAATTTCTTACGTCCTTTCCGGACCCTCTTCTTGGTGGAAGCTCTTGCACTTGGATTTCGTTATCCGGTTGCTTGGCAAATGCTCCTTCCGAGCGCTAGTAGCCCGCATGCGGTCGCATGTTCTTCGGGCATCGCGTTTCCGCATGGTCCGCGCTTCAAAGTCGATGTGCTTCAAGTCCGGACGCCCTGCCTTCCGTTCTGCAAACTTATCCACGTCATCGCAAGATTCCAACATCATGTTTAGGTTTTGCGAGAGACATCCACGGTGGAAGTAGCACCTGCAGGCGAGAGAAGTACAAAGCGCTTTGCTTGTGAACGGAGTAGCGTAACCACAGAACTTCATCTTCACCCCCACCTTCGACGTTACCGTTGAGACAGACGTCTGATACGCACCGCTGGCCAAGACGTACTGATATGCTCTAATCCAGGGATCCTCTTTTTTTTTTTGCTTTCTGCAGGTGGAGAGCGACGACGATCTCCCTTTTGCGTGCCTGATCTGCAGGCAGGGGTTCGTTGACCCGATAGTCACAAATTGCGGTCACTACTTCTGTGAGCGGTGCGCCCAGGAGCACTACAAAACCAACCCCCGCTGCGCCGCGTGTGGAAAGCAGGTACGCACCCGTCCACACCATCGCTCGTTTGGACTATCTCGGGAGATCGCGTCTCTGCTTGTTTTTTGGCGCCGTTTGGTTGATCTTTATCTGTTGGACACGATTTGGTGTCTGGTCTGGGATTGCTGTATGCTTTGGTAGGTGTCGTCGAAGCAACGTCAATCCTCTGAATCCCTGAATCCCGAGGATGCCTCGACCACCACCTCCCTGCATTTGTTTGAATTATCTGTGGTTTGACCACGTGGCTTTGCTCCTAGAGTTCGGGAGATGTGCTACCAACACAGTAGCCAATAAATCTACATGCATTCTACTTACACCCAACGACTGCACGCGTTGTTAACTGTGCTTGTTCTGCCATGCAGACCCAGGGCGTGTTCAATGCGGCCAAGAAGCTGACGGAAAAGCTTCGCAAGAAAGGCATGGTGACGAGAAAAGAGCAAGCCGGCGCAGCTGGCGGGGGTGCGTCAGCCGGTGCCGATGAGGGGGGGGGTGACAGCGACTACGAGATTCGCGAGGACGGGGTGCAGCTGACGGAAACGGACGTGGTGCGGCGAAAAACCGGGACATGGGCCACGGTGACCACAGAAGAAGACGCGGTCGAGGGAGACGGAAAAAAGGAAGGCGAAGGTTAACGCGCCTCTAGACTTTAGTAGAGTGTTTGTATTTTTGTAGAAAATATGCATGGTTCACAGAAAGAGTTCCCGTTGGAGATATGTTGCCGAGAGGGGTGTGTTGAAGTCTTTGCAGTGAGCCGGCTGGATTTGCAGGAGGCAGGCTGGGCTCATTGAGAGATGATGCCTGTTGGGAGTAGGTCTATCACATAGAAATGGATGCTCAGCAGCAACCATGGAGGGTATTTAGCTTAGACTACATGTAGCGCAGATTTGATCGAAGCGTAGCTGAGGTCGCTTCGAGAATTCTTGTAACCGGCATGGGGGCTTGGGGTTGCGTAGAGTATGCGGTTTAGTTGGTCCGGCCGAGAGAGTAACACCCATTGCAATACGTGAAGCACCGCTGTGCTGTTGAGAACGTTTTGACTGTTTTCGTAAAGCGAAAGATTTCGGTAAACCGAGGCATGGACTCGTGTGTTGAATGGTGTTTCGGTTTCTTGGTTCGCCCGGGCGGACACGTTGGCATGTGATCAGTTTGGGTGTGTTGGGGTTGGATTGCTTCCGTAATCTAATCGTTCGATTCGATCTGGTTCTTTTGCGAGCGACATCAGATGGCGCGTTGTCGGCCTGCTGGTGCCGTTACCGTAGCGTTACGCATGCAACTTCTCTTTCCTTTGGTTGGCACATGTTGCTGTGCTCGTCTACAGCTGCTAGGCCTGGAGATGTCGGGAACGTCTGGCAAATTGTTGCCGGTAAATATCAGTCCCTGTGCGCATGACGCTGCTTTCACGGGACAAATGAATATCAAGTTTCGTGCCGTTGATGACCACCTTACGGGCTGCCGATGCCGACATGTTGACTCCCTGGCGTGCCGCATGTCATTTCGTCTTCTGTGAACGCGGTCGGCCGGACCTATTATAATGATATCTCATGATCGACACCGAATTTGCTTCGTTCGTCGTTGGGGTCTGCAGCTGTAGGCTTGTACAAAGTGCTACATGTTGTAGAAGTCTAGATTATCTGCAGTGTACAGACGACCACGCGCGAAGGCACGACAGCAGATTTGATGTGCTGGATGCACTGAAGGGGAAATTGTCCACCGCGTGCACATGGAGAGTCGGCACGGTGTTGCCCCAACTACCCCCTTTGTGTGTCGTAGTTCTCAGTGTCAGAGTGTCAGAGGCACACAGCACATGATCCACACATCCACACTCACAAGCACTAAATAAATCCTGGTCTAAGTTGGAAGCGACACGCTGCGAAGCTCGTTGTCAGTAAACTCGATCGACTTCATGAGTCGCGAGGGAAGGGATTGCTGTACCCTTCTCGCGATAAAAATATCTCAGGCAGGAACCGCAGGAGGGGGTCCAACCCCCCCCCTCCTATGTGACCCCGGTTGGGTCGTCAGCTAGTAGAAGTGGAGGATAGGGGCCAGAGGGGCAGACGACAAAATCCAATGATGGGAGAAACAAAAAAAAAAAACTCACAAGCACTGGATATCACACAAAGGGGGTATGTGTGGTTGCCAGACACAACCGCGGGCCCCCGCCTCTGCCGTGAGATTGATACACACGCACAAGCAAGGTCTCGGTGCCGGTGCAGCAACAAGGCAAGGGCATGACTCCATCGGTGTGCCGCGTTGTCTGCATCGCAGCTCTCGTGGGCCTACTCAACGAAGTGCTACCGGTGCCCGCGAGAGCACCAGCGGCGAGCGCCGGAGGAGGCGTTGGTCGTGGGCGAAGAAAAAACGCGCATCATCGTTGCCGACAGGATCATGTTGCGCACTCCTCAACCGGATGCTTGACCTCCAACACCGCTACCCCAGCACCAGCAAGCGGTGGCGTCGGTGAAGACGGGGGCAGCAGGGTGGTCGGTGCCAGGCCTGCATGGCTTGTGGGCTCTGGCAGCGGGAGAGGTCGGGGCTTGCCGCGCAGAAAGAAAGGGAGCTCCAGCACCCAGGAGGCTAGGGCGGGCGCGAGGGCCAGCAGCGTCGTGGGGTTGAGAGGGGGCAGCACGGCCGCGGGGGAAGGGCTAGAGGAGGGAACAGCCGGCGTTGTCCGGAGCATGCAGATATTGGTATCCACCACGAAGATCAGCAGCTACATCGATGCGGTACGTCGAAAGGTGGTGGCTGTGTTCGGCGGTGTTGTACAGATAAACCGACACGTGTATGATACAGATACACAGATTGTACCGTGGAAGTAACGATTCAACAGCAGTGTTTGCGACAGATACCGCACCCCCTGAACCGATTTTTCAAAGCTCGGTCACTCCACGACGAAGAGGATGCCAAAACCAAGCGGTACATTTTCGGAAAGCTCTCGGTGAGAAGGTCCCAGCGCTGCCATTTTCGGCACACCGTCATGCTGTTTTTGCTGCGGAGTATGCGATCGCCCCGTGAAAATCATGCCAGGGGGTGTGGTATCTTACGCAACGTACGCTTGGCTATCAAGCGCAGCGCCTTTAGTACTGGGTGCCCCAATGGGGACACAGCACTCAGCACTCAAACGTCTGTTTGCCGCACGGTAGTCGTCACAAGGCTACACCGTTTGGAAAGCACGTGGGACACCTTGGACTAGCATGCTGCTGTGGGTTGGTACACTGTATGGTGTACGTGTGGTCGCGGCCTCTGACTTGCGCTACACATATGTATATCCAAGCCGCGTGTCCCCCTGTTGGTAAAAGTCTCAACAACCTACAATAGTACTGGAAATTTTTCTGACCTCGCTTTCGTATGGAAGAGTGTCCCCAGTGCATTTGGGACACTCATCATACTGAAGCCAATTCAGGCTTCGTCGCTCGGGACTGTACAGCCTCTCCCAATGAGCGGACGCGATTTTTTCCTGGACCTAACCCATAACTAGGTGACGAGCTGCGTACTACTGCAGGAGGGTTAAGCGTGCGGCCCGTCATGCGCTCTACCTGCTACTTCCTGCGCGGACGTGGTTGTCTCATGTTTGGTGTTGCTCGTTGGAGGCAGAACTTGTGGTCATCAGAAATGGAGTATCGACCTGAATATGGGGCTTTCGTCGAAGAACCGTTGTGGAACGGAAATCCCGCACTCCCTCACGCATTCTATTCAAGTCAAAGCAACCGAATACCATGGTCACAAGTAAAACCCGAAACAAGGAATCTACATCTAAGAACATATTTACCCCACGGAAAGTCCTGTCAATCACAAAGGACGAAATTCCTAGAATGCCGTGTGACAGTCGGGGGATTATTCGATTTTGTCAGTGAGTTCTTTGGCACCGTCTTCTCTGTCTGTCTGTCTGTCTGTCTGTCTGTCTGTCTGTCTGTCTGTCTGTCTGTCTGTCTGTCTGTCTGTCTGTCTGTCTGTCTGTCCGTCTGTTTTTCTGTCTGTCTCTCTGTCTGTCTGTTGGTCGCCTGTCGTCGCCTGTTTCTGCCCCGCCCCCCCTGGTCCGGTGAGAACCCGGCGTGCTCTGTCCCGACTTTGTAGGGATGCGAGGTCAATGGTCTAGCGACCACGGCATGCACGACTATGAGTACACCCCCCCCCCCCTCTCTCTCCCTCCCTCTCCTGTCCACCCCCCGTCAACAAAACCAGCGGGGGGAAGTCGCCGCGAGGTCGGACTGGACAGTGGGCAAGCTGAAGGAAGAGCTCGAGAAGAAATTTCCTGGAAGGATCCCCGCATCCTTGCAGCGGCTGTTCAAGGGGACGCAGCTTCTGCCCTCTTCAATGACCCTCGAAGAAGCGTCTGAGGTGAGAAAATCAACCCGGAGGTAATTTTCCAGGAAATTTCTCGGCGGGAAGATATTTTGTCTCTCCATTTGGTTCGTTTCAGTGGCCTATGTTGTTTCTCGCCGAAAGCTAGACGGAATGTTGACCGGGGGGTTGAACCGTCGCTGGGTTTTATCCTATGACGCTCTTTGTTGTGGAACATTCCGGTATCTGGTGCCGCAGGAGACTCTGACGAGTGATTATTTTGGCCTTCTGGATGTATGAAACCATGCGCAGTATTTTTTTTGTCTGCTTTCGTGACACACATGGCCCCGATCTTCAATCTCGCCCTCCTCTCCTCCCCTCCTCCCTCTAGTGTTTCTGTCGTGTTTTGATGCTGTTGCTGCTGCTGCTGCTGCTGTTGTCCTGCAGGGGGCTGAGGGGCCGCTCTCTTTGCTGCTGGACAACGCTCCGCCGATAGACGCTTCCAGGTGAGATTGGTGTTGACGATGCCAGCGTACTTCATGTTAACGCTGATTATCGTATGTTTCCGTGTTGTCGTTGATGGCGGCGATGTTCATTGCGGGCCGGTAGATAATCCGGCTTTTCATCGCGACCATGTGTTCGTGTCCGTTTCCATCACGATGGCGTTTCGGCGTTGTGGTGATGCCCGCAGGCACCCCATGCCAAGGTGGATTGCTGTGGCTGTCGATCTACTGGTGTGAATGTTCTTTGTTTGTCGAGACACAGCTTACGCGGATCTCAGGGTCACGCCGATGTGTTCTGTTGCGTGTTTCAGTATTTGCAGAGCATCCGAGTGTCGCACTGGCTGCGGTTGTCGTGTTCCTTGCAGTTTGAATCATGGGGGTGATAGCGTCAACGTTGATGTTGAACTTGTTCGATAGTGGAAAGTATTTTGTTCGTGATGATGATGTGAATAGCGGCGGTTCTGTCTGCGGCCATGGTGATGGCTCATGAGAACACAATCTGAGCAGCTTTGGATGATCCGTGATGGCGAGCATGCCCTCTTGACTGCCATGATCGTCATTTGTTGGTTCGTTGTTTGTGCCTCCTTTTCTTTTTGGTTGTTGTCCCCTGCACGACGATCGAGATGAGTGCGATGGTATGGTCATACGTGCGTTTTGCGTCCTTCCTCTCTCTCTCTCTCCCTGTCTCCACCCTTCTCTCCTCATGTCTCTGCCCTCGGCCCTCTATTTATCAAACGCGTAAACGCGTAACTCAGGTTCGACCCGGACACGGCGGTACCCTTCAGCAAGGACGGGCAAGTGGAGGCATTTTCGGCGTGCCTAGCGGCGCAATCGACTCTGCAGGAGACTCTGCTCGCGGTGATGAGGGGGGAAAACAGCGAGGTATATCGGCATTTCCGCCTCAGCCGTTGGGCTTGGACTGTGTTTCTGGTGTTTGGATTCCTTGGCTATGATGTAGAGGCTGTCGTTTGCTGAAGGTTGACTTGCGTCGGAATCTACTTTCCAGAGAGCGGTGACAGGGTTGGTGAAGGAAAAGCGTCGGTCGGCCTGGAGATTTTGTGTTTTACGTTGCATTCCTTGTCAGCGGAATATTGGTTGATACCATTCGATGAAACAATATTTGTTGTTTGCCACAAGGTTCATGTTGTTGTGCGATTTGTGCTGTGGTTTCCAAGCACCTTGGGTAGAAAGCGGCGCAACCTTCCCTGAATACGTTGGAACAATTGATTCGCACGCCAATGGGCAGTTGCTCTCCTGATATATTAGATGGGGCAAACGCATCCCATTAAGAGTCAAATACGCCGCGTCCGTTCAGTGCTTCTGCTCGCCGTATCGCATGTTCCAGCACTATGTAGACGGCAGCTCCACTCATATTCCCCGAACGGTCGCTTGCTTGGAAATTGGTGACACGCAGGACGACGCAGAGCTGAGCCGCAGCGTCAAGATGAAGGCCGACTTCGAGAACACAAAGGTACTGAAGGGTAACCAGCACAGGCACGTTGTTGTTGAGATGTTGTTGTTGATGTTGCTGCTGCTGTTGCTAATGTCGGCAGTATGGCGGTGTCTGGTGCACTTGAAAGCAGGGGCTGCTATTGAGGCAGACGTCACAGCATTAGTAGCACACGGCCCACGGCCGTGTTTGAAACGTTGGCCTGACGCAACATTATCCCGGGAGATTCAGAATCCCTCGTCAAAGATAGTGTCAATGGAAGGGATAGAAAGACCCATTTTTTCGTGGCAAGAAACCCTTGCCACCCCCCACTTGTCCCTATCATGCAGTTGTCCTGTAATCATGTCTTGCACAAATTGTATTCCAGCGGTGGAGTCAGTTCAATTTCGGAGAAGACGACAAACAAACATGTTTTGTATTATTTTTTCAGGCTCTTCTTCAGAGGACGCTGGACGAGGTGCCTGACAAGACGGGAGACGAGGAGGAGACATTTGGGATTCTGCACGAGGCCTTGCGGCCACTAGCCCACAGGCATGTGCCGCGCGTGGCAATGTTTTCCTTGAGTTTGGAAGCATCGGTACGGTAGGCTGCGCGAACCAGCTGACCAGTGAAAAATTGTCATCAATCTTGGGCGCGGCACCAAACGCCGGGGTATTTCTCGTCCGCGAGGACCCCTTGCGGGGAGCCTGGGAAGAGCGTGAAAAAGCGGCGCATCTTCAAATTTGAATGCTTGAACAAATTCGATACGCATCCATGATGTCACTAGGCGCTCGTCCTGTCGCGCCTTTCCTTGTCGTGGCATTCTACATAGCATGACTTCTGCGCTGTAGCTCGTGTGTCCAATCTTCGATCCATGAGATTTGAGTGCGTACGAACGGGAATCTGTGTCCGCTCTACTGCTGTTCGTTGTCTGTTGCCACCATGTTTGCCGATCCGATCGATGAGTTGCTGGTGTGCAATGGTTTATGGTTTGTGGCAGCATATGCCTTCTGTATTGTTTTGTTTTCGCCACTCTTTTTACTGTCTTCGTTGTGGATGAGGCACGTTCGATCTCATGGCTGGTACATAGGCACTTGATTTGCAAGTTTTCGCCTGCCCTTCCCCCATCAACCAACCGGACTTAGATTGTACCTTTGCAGGACGCGTAACGACGCGTAACTCTTGTCCTTTTTTTCACCACTACCGCGCACTTTCATGCCGCTCCTTTCCCGCCCCCCGCAACCTCGCACAGACTGGACGTGAATTGGATGCAAACCGCGCAGTACACCATATTCACGTACATATGCGCTCAGTTTGGAGCCACCGGAACCATTCGTCGTCTGGCAACGCTCATGCTTATCCCAATGGTGCGTAACGGGGAAAAAGTGAAAAATTATTGAAAACACTTGGTTAATATTGCGGTATGCTCAGTGTCATCGTCGTCTTTCTTATGCCCTTCCGGCTGCTTTCTGTGGCGAGTAGTGAGGTGGTGTGCTTTTAGGACGCACCGCCAACTGATGCTGTCTGTGCTTCTCAGAATGGTGTGTGGGCTACTGCGTCGTTTTCGCGAGTGTCCCCGTTGCGGACAGCCGTGGTGTTTGCCTGTATTTTCGTACGTGTGTCTCCCAACGGTAATTTCGCAAACTTGCTAGGATTACACCTGGCCTCGGCTATCGGTTTGATTCGACAACTAGGTTCATAATTTACGTTGGAGTTCTTCCCTCGCTCTCTAGCGAACAGGGGATCTTTCCGACTCCTGATCTCCGTAGATTTCGAATGTGTAGCCAATCAGCGCCGTTCCAGTCTCGACTCGCTCCGGATTTGTTTCTCGCCCCCTTCTGCACAGCCACGAACTCTTTCATGGCTCTCTCCCCGCTCCCCTCCCACACACTCTAACCCCCCTGAACTGACACGTTCAGTCAACCTGTTGTACGTTTTACCCCTCTGAAGTTCAGCGTCTGGCGGTTGGTGCACTGAAAGCAGGCCGTATCCCTTTTAGTCCTCGAAATTACACCCACATGGAATTTCGTCCAACTCCTAATTTTGATGTTGGTGACCCCCGTTTCTCAGATGCTCCTGGCTCAGACTCGTTCGGCAAGGGTGGGAGCCAAGATGGTGCGGAACCTCGTGGCGGAAGTGCCCGTTCTCACCCAGCTCTTCCTCGGGCTATTGCAGGCACCGACACAGGTATGGACGCACACGGAAGTCTGTGGTGCGCAGTATTTCGTGCTCAACAGACACTATCGTTTACCCGTGCGCGATTTCGGCATTGGATTCATAGCGTGTGGCCTGTCAGCCCCCCCCCAAAAAAAATTGTCCCTCTGCGTAAGCACTATTTTACCCGTTGGACACGTTACTGTACCCCAGTCAACCCCCCCCCCCCCGA